GATATGTCACATACGCCATCATCTGGCCTCGAGCCTTAAGCAGCAATATATCACTCTTGAGAATCCACTTGAATTGTGGCAAGCGCTGAAAAAGCGATATGACCATCAGAAAATGGTCCAGTTGCCTCAGGCAGATTTCGACTGGAAGAACCTTCGGTTCCAGGACTACAAATCCGTAGATGATTACAACAACGAACTCTTTCGTATTGTTGCCATCCGGAAACTCTGTGGCGAGGATGTGACAGATAATGATCTCCTCGAGAAAACATTATCCACATTCAGCACAGAGAATGTTGTGCTCCAACAACAATACCGTGCAATGAAACACACATTGTACGAAGACTTGTTGTCATGTCTTCTCCTCGCTGAGAAGAATAACCAGCTGCTTATGAGGAACAGCGCTATGAGGCCCCCGGGATCGGCTCCTGTCCCAGCTTCTCGTCAAGAGTCCTACCATGTTCAACCCGATAGATCCTCAGATCACCGCCGTGGACGTGGTAATGGACGTGGTAATGGCCGAGAACATGGACATGGAAGACGTGGACGCGGACATGGTCGTGGCAACCGACCTAACCTCAGTTATGGTCCTGGTCGTGGTCGAGGCATCACCAAGCCGACCCGCCACACCAACCCCGATCACTCTGCTTGTACCAGATGTGGGATGTTCAACCACCCAACAAAGCAATGTCGCACCCCCAAGATCCTCTCGGAACCAAGCCTTCGCTAGGTTCTTGGCCCAAATCATAAAATTGCGGGCTCATTTCCCTGACTTCCCACTAAAGACTATCCGCCTTGACAATGCTGGTGAATTTACCTCACAAGCGTTTAATGACTACTGTATGGCCATGGGGGTAACCGTGGAACATCCTGTAGCACATGTCCATACTCAAAATGGATTGGCTGAATTATTCATTAAACGCATTCAATGGATAGCCCGACCATTACTCATGAGATCAAAGCTCCCGGCCTCAGCATGGGGACATGCAGTATTACATGCTGCTAAACTTATACGCATCCAGCCATCTAGTGAACACAAATATTCCCCATCCCAACTACTCTCGGGTCATGAGCCAGACATCTCCCATCTCAAAACATTTGGGTGTTCAGTATATGTACCCATTGCTCCACCACATCGAACCAAAATGGGACCTCAAAGAAGGATGGGAATATATGTTGGTTTTGACTCTCCCACCATCATAAGATATCTCGAGCCAACCACTGGAGATCTCTTCAAGGCCAGATATGCGGATTGCCAATTCGATGAATCGGTATATCCCTCTTTAGGTGGTGAGACAAACAAGCTGGTCAAAGATCTTTCATGGAATCAAACATCATTAAATTGGCAAGATCCTCGGACTCTAGAATGTGATTCAGAGATCCAAAAGATTATTCATTATCAAAAGCTAGCTAATCAATTGCCAGATTCCTTTGCTGACCCGACCAAAGTAACCAAATCGTACATCCCAGCTTGTAATGCACCAGTACGAATAGCTGTCCCAACGGGACAGACCCAAGTTGCTACAGAGTCTGCACCACGTCTCAAACGGGGCAGACCTCTCGGTTCCAAAGATAAGAATCCCCGGAAATCAAAGAAAGGTGCAATAACTGAAACCGGGATTCCTGCAATATCAGACATAGCCGCGGCTGAGACTCAATCTAATGAACCCTCAATGGAAGTTCGGGACGCCGAATCTCCAGGTTCAGAAGATAACAATGAGATCTCCATCAATTACAATATGTCCGGAATACAATGGAATCAAAAAGAAGTCGACTTAAATGCACTCTTTGCATACAAAGTAGCACTTGATGTTGCGCTCACGCAAGAGGATCTAGAACCCACGTCAATAACACAGTGTACACATCGAACAGATTGGCTAAAATGGAAAGAAGCCATAAACGTGGAGTTAAAGAGTCTCAAACTCAGAAACGTGTTCGGTCCGATCATCTGGACCCCATCACACATCAAGCCAGTGGGCCACAAATGGGTCTTTGTGCGCAAAAGGAACGAACTCGGTGAAGTCGTTCGATACAAAGCACGGCTTGTAGCACAAGGATTCTCACAGAGACCCGGAATCGATTATGAGGAGACTTATTCTCCAGTGGTGGATGCAACAACATTCCGATTCCTCATAAGTCTGGCCATAAGAGAAAATCTTGATCTGCGGTTAATGGATGTTGTAACCGCATATCTCTATGGGCCCCTGGACAACGAAATATATATGAGACTCCCAGATGGCATTGAACTAAAAGACAAAAATGCATCTCGAGATCAATACTGCATCAGGCTGAACAAATCCTTGTATGGACTGAAACAAAGTGGGCGTATGTGGTACAACCGCCTCAGCGATTACCTCATCAAAGAAGGCTACAAAAATGACCCCATCAGTCCATGCATCTTCATCAAGAAGTACTCAAACAAAGGATTTGTAATCATAGCAGTATACGTGGATGATCTAAACATCCTCGGAACATCTGGTGAGATCTCCCAAACAGTCGACTGCTTAAAAGCAGAATTCGAAATGAAAGACCTAGGCAAAACAAAGTACTGTTTGGGATTACAACTTGAGTACATCAAAGGAGGAATCCTTGTGCATCAATCGGCTTATATCGAAAAGGTACTCAAGCGATTTAATATGGACCAAGCTCACCCATTGACCAGCCCAATGGTAGTTAGAAGCTTAAGTGATGACCCTCTTGGTCCCAAAAAGGATGATGAAGAAATCATTGGTCCTGAAAAGCCATACCTCAGTGCTGTAGGAGCGTTAATGTACCTGGCTAGTCACACTAGACCAGACATATGTTTCGCCGTGAACCTCCTCGCTCGATATAGTTCATCTCCAACTCAGAGGCACTGGAACGGTATAAAACATCTCCTAAGATACCTTCGAGGTACTCAAGACTTAGGACTCTTCTATACTAACCAAAATAAAGATTGGTTAGTCGGCTTCGCCGATGCAGGATATCTATCAGATCCGCACACTGCCAAGTCTCAAACTGGCTACGTTTTTACGCATGGAGGAACAGTCATCTCTTGGAGATCAATGAAGCAGACACTCACTGCCACTTCATCAAACCATGCTGAAATCCTAGCCATTCATGAGGCTAGTAGGGAATGCGTCTGGCTGCGCTCCATGACTCAGCACATCCGCAGAGATTGTGGTATGGACGAAGACACACAGCCCACGGTGATGTATGAAGACAACGCGGCATGCATAGCTCAGCTCAAGGAAGGATATATCAAAGGAGATCGGACGAAGCACATTCTACCGAAGTTCTTCTCAACCTCAGACTGGCAGAAGGCGGCACTCTCAGCGTTCAGCAGGTCCGATCCAGTGAGAATTCAGCTGACCTCTTCACCAAATCATTGCCTACTTCAACACACCGGAAGCTCGTCAAACAGATAGGAATGTATAGACTTAGAGATCTGCAGTGATGCTACAATCAGGGGGAGTAATGCGTGTTGTACTCTTTTTCTTTCACCATGGTTTTGTCCCACTGGGTTTTTCCTGGTAAGGTTTTAATGAGGCAACATTCCCCAGCGCATTATCGAGATCCCCATTGAGTAGCTGACCCGGTTCACTCGTCCAAGGGGGAGTGTTATAACACATATCATATATGGACTCTTATACCGGCCCATTAGGCCCATCAGGGCATTGTACTTAACCTAGATTCCCTATGTACTCTATATATACATTCCAGTGATTAATAAAGTTCCTAAATCTAATATTAGATGAAAAAAATATTGAAAAAAAATATTTAACTATTAACAGATACCAATTAATTATGTGGTTGTTGTATGTAATAAGTAAGAAGAAGAAGTGAGTTGTAGAAATCTTTAATGAAGAAGAGGAAAATAAGACATAATTTTTTTTTAATTGTTTAAGTTGTTATGTGTTGTTCTAATATTTTATTATATTTTAAGATTAAGTTTTATATAGTTGTTAATTTATACTATATAAACAAGTATTTTCCTAATAATATATAATAATTGATAATTTTAACTAGAAAATTGAACCTTTAAATTAATTTTTAAAAATTGGCTCGTATGCGAATGTTTATTTTTTGTGTGCATAGGCACGGCCCTCCTACAATAGATCTTCAGCGTTTTCTGATGTACATTGGTTGACAATTGATTTCACAAAAAAAAATGAAAAAGTTAATTTAGCGGCCAATCATTCATGACACTGTACTGGAAAAAAATTCGAATTCTATTTTTCAAACGTTAACATACAATTTTCAATCGATGAACTACGGTTAGTTGGTTTTTGTCATCATAATCCGTAATTCAAATTATAAGCCTATGAAGTTTTGTTGACCTTGCGATTTGTGAATAAATAGCAGAGTTGAGTATACTTTGTGTGCTAATTCGCTCAACCCGGAAGAACGAAATTATTCAACAGAACCGGAGGGATAGAGTAAACCGGATCAAGGTCGGCTAAATAAAACAAAAGCAGGTAGTAGGCCCCAGAGCAACTCCACTTTGGTTGCAAAAGCCTAAAGGCATGGATGTATTGTGGGTATTGGAGGAGTGGCCAATAAGTATAGTCTATAGACATTTGGGCAATTTGGGTCATGCATGCTAATTATCACGAGTTAACCATCGCACGATGCGTAGTATCGCATCAGAAAATTATATAAATCTCCAATTTTTCAAAATAATGGTTACAACTTTTTCATCTATGTAATTCAAATTTGTGTATAATTATATTAATATATGCATTTTTATTGACTATTTTTATATAATACATCTTATTATTTATATATATTACATAATTTTGTTACATTAGTTAATTTAATATATCTGTAAAGTTTTGTCTTTTCAGATTTTCTAATTATTTAATACGGTATCAAACTATACGTTTTAGAATTTATAACAAGATCCGTTCAAGCTAAAGACCATTCTTTTGGTCAAAAAATAAAAAATAAAAAGAAAGCTAAAGACCATTCTCATTTTCCTAAAGATGATGGCATATATATATTTAAAAAAAAAAAAAAAAAAAAAAAAAGATGATGTCATATGTAACGCTCAACGAATAACAACAATTTGGCTACCCGTTATTGTCCTACACAAGGCCATAATGAATTTAATAACTCCGAAAAACTGATAAAACACGTAATAATTGATCTTATTTCATACGAATATGATTTGACTTAACGACACTAGTCAAACCCCTTCTTTCTCTCCAAAGGCACACCAATCACACGTATACACACCTCTTCATTTAATTCTATTATTCTTCCTTTTTTTATTCGCTCAACTTACACTGCCATTTATTCCTCCCTTAATTTTTGTTCCTTCATTTGACCTGCTTGAAACTTTTATCTTTTGTCGTATTTTGAAGACTATTTTTCTTGATAGTTGTTGATATTTCCATCAGGTTTAATTCCTTATTCCATATTCCACGCTTATCACAAAATCTTTCTCCATTGTCTGGCTATTTTTTTCCTTTTGTACTTTCACATGTGTACACAGTGTATATAGTATATACATATGCACACTCACATTTCTATAATCACATATAACTTCAACTTTACCTTTTCAGTTTTCTCCCAAAAAAAAACTATCTTCTTCGTCAAATTCTGTTGATTCCTTTTTCCTCTATGGCAGTCTCACCTAATTCAAGCTCTTTAGAATTAACAATATCAATTCCAAGCTTCTCTCCATCTCCTTCATCTGGTAAGATCCAAAGATTAGTTTTAAAATCATATGTATATTTTATATAGATTTGTAAAAGTTATGTCTTTGAAAAAGATCCAAATAATATAATTTTGGTAGGTGATCACATGGTGAGAGATTTAGACATAAACCAAACTCCAAAGATGGAGGAAGATCGTGAGTGGATCATGATCGGTGCAACACCACATGTCAACGAAGAAGATAACAAATCCGGCGGCCGGCGGCGTAAAAAGCTCCGTTTAACCAAAGAGCAATCACATCTTCTCGAAGAGAGTTTCATACAAAACCATACCTTAACCCCTGTAAGTATATATATGTAAATTATACGATTTTTTGGTTCCGTAAACGTTTTGCTTACGTTGAAAAGAGAAAGAAGAAAGAGATAGCAAGAGTTGATTTTTCTGATGATCAAGTCGGCTGATTATGTTTTTGTTGGATAATAATGAAACCGCAGAAACAAAAACAAGAATTGGCAACTTTTTTGAAGCTTAGTCAAAGGCAAGTTGAAGTGTGGTTTCAAAATCGAAGAGCACGGTACGTATTTGATATTTCGATCCACCTCTTCATATATTCCATCGTTTATAATACATATAAACCGAGGAAAATAAATGTTTACATATATCGTATACAATTAAGTAACTTGCGTTTATATATGAGCTGAGGTATATTAGGTGTAGGGATTTTTGGAATTAGATTTTTAGTGGTTGAGGATATATATATTAATTAATGAGAATGCGTTGACAGAATATTATATATAAAGAGATTGTGTGAGATCGTAACTTAGATCATTCTCAACAAAATTCCGCATACATATACAATTATAATTTAGAAAAGTGTCGTAAAGTGGAATTGATACTTTTTTATCCAAGTGTTTCACGTTGATTCCCACATATATAGTTATCACGTATTTTATGCGACACATGAAAAGCCCGTAATCTATATATAAATGTCTGTGATTTAAAAATCATAAGATATAGAATCTAATAAATGCATCAACAAGAAAAAAGTGATAGGGGAACATGAGGGACAAAGTTAGAGACAATAAATGATGTGTTTATTTTTTCAGCTCATATTTGGCCAGTCCACAATTATGATGTTTCTCCCATATAGTATATTTGATGAAACATAAACTACACATACACCTTTTTATCAATGTTTTCTCTCTAAGTCTACGTATATATGTACATCACATGATTGTTTATATACGTACATTTTTGCATGAGTATGGAGATATCAGATACATATTGTTGCGTGGATGTAGTTCATGAAAACCCATAAAGAAGGAATTTAATCACCTAACACAATTTTACATCACCCGAAAATGTTCCCATGTTTTCTGGTCAGTTTCATGAAAACGTCGTTCTAGTTCTACTGTTATTATCAGTTTCATAAAAATATAACTTCAATTTTCAAAATGACTTTTACAGAAACTTATCGTTTACTCAAAACAAATAAATTTTGAGTTACAGTTAAATGTAATTTAGTTGTTACTATATTAAAAGGGGCATCTTAGTTAGGCTAGGATCCTAAGGCTCTGTAGATATATGAAATTATTTGCGAAACAAAGAAAGTAAATAACTTTCTGGAACAATTAAATACGATATATGACAAGATGATTTTGCGTATTGGTGCATTTCGGGTCAATTAAGCAACACTTATATAGTATCAAATGTGATAACACAGATTATAATTATATATATGCTGTATGTAAAGGTCGGTTGAATAGTCCTCCAAAAGTAGAAATTTCTTAAACACCAACTTCGGTAAATATATTAATAATTCAGGCTATAAATATATATATGTTTGGATAGGATAAAGCTAGAAATTACAAATGACGTATATAAGTATGCTAATAGTACGTAAGCATGTGGCCACAACCACAATAACCAATATCGGTTACACAAAATCTGTTATATATAGGAGTAAGCTAAAGCATATGGAGATGGAGTGTGAGTACCTAAAGAAATGGTTCGGGTCATTGAAAGAGCAAAATCGACGGCTACAAATAGAAGTTGAAGAACTACGAGCTCTAAAGCCATTATCGGCTTCTGCATTAACCATCTGTCCTCGGTGTGATCGTGTGGCCGATACAGCAGATAATAGCTCTAATGCCGTTCAGGAGGGTGCAGCTCGGAGCAGCCAGCCACGCATGCCAATTTCCTCTTCCTCTTCTCCTTGTTGACTGGTTCGGTCAAAGCTTAAGTCAAAGTCAAATATTGAAACGCCTGTTTAGGGTGGCAAAAGCAAAGATTTGATGATGATTAGGAGGATTTTGTGTATAGTTTTCTAAATTATTTATTACCTCAAAGAGAAAAAGAAAATTGTTTCAATCCTAGTTTAATAGCCTTTTTTGTTGGCGATATGTAACTTTATTTTTCGTATCCCCATTTGGATTGACTGATTGAGTAGTATTATTGACTTGAATAAAATATTATAAACCAAAAAATTAATATTTAAAATGACTATTTATATACTTTGTATCCCAAAACCCAAACGAAAACTGAATTAATTAAAACCAAATTTCTTTTAAATTATTTATATTTGGAGTTATTTTGATGACTAATCAAAACCGAATCCAAACGAAAAGATGAACCAAACCAAACCAAAATCCCGTTAAATCAAACTATAAATCCACTATTACAAATGTTCTTATTTTGTTTCAATTTTCGTAAAATCACTTTGTTCGTATCTACTTAAAATAAGATGCTTTATTTGGTGTGTAAGATAAGAAATGTATAATACTTAATTAAAAAAAAAATAGGTATGAAACTGATATATAGATCAAGAGTAGCTAGAAATCAAAATAAATATTCCTACACCATAAAACTGTTATCAAACTTTTTCATATATTCCGACTGATTGGTACGGACAGATTATTAAAACATCCATTAACGTCACTGTCATTAAAGCCCCAACAAACAAAAAACGTCACTGTTATTTGACTTCCACAAGTATCAAATAAGGCTGCTATATATACAAGGGTCCCTATAATTTATCTTCTTTGTTTTGAGAAAAGGCTGCTGTATTTTCCTCGACGTAAATAGCTAACAAGCTTTTTAAAATTGAATTCTGGTGAAGATTTACACCTAAAACACGTGATGTCTCACCATCTATGTAAGTAAATATTTTTCCCACCATCTAAACAGCGTGATAAATAAAAGCATATATATATATATATATCAATAATGGTGGACGACGTACAAGAAGATGGATATATCATTCACAAAATTATTAAAAATATTATACAGTATGAAGTTTGTTTTTCGCAAACCTTACCAAGTTATTTTAGACCCCCAAAAAAAACATATTTCCAAGTGTTAGTAATGAGTTAGGGTCACCAGCACATCTTTGATAACGCGATGTATTGGGATTTATACGTAGAAAAAAGAAGCCCAATGGGCTGAGTAGCTCTGTAGCCGTAACTTGAACCGATAGAAAATTTAAAATCAAGCAGCATTGTTCTTTCGTTTGTTAAACGTTATTAAATACAGTTTATATCACAATTTCTAATAATATTTTCGTTTAACAAGAAATTCACGTTTGACATATTTCAGTAAAATAGTAATTTAATATATAAAAAATAATCTCTTTCGCTGATAATTTTGTTTGTTTTTTCTATAGAAAACCGAGACATAATCACTGGGTATATCAATAAGCGATTCGCACCTTTCTTTAGTAAGAGAGCATTTTTTGAAATAAGGAAAATTATGTTAATATCTGAAGTTTATTTCGGAGACAACTCATAGTAACAGAGGAATGTGTGTTTACTGAATTAGGAAGATAAATGAGTTAGCACCTCCAACGCTAAAAAAAAAACATTTAATGGGTTTAAAGAGTAGATACGGTTCTTCTTTTATGTTTTGCAGAATTTCACTAGAGACGCTGATATGTTACTAGCTGATTGGTCGTTTGATTTTTTATTTTTTTTTGTTTTTTAATAAAAAGCCTCTGAATGATATAGAGAGTTTGCTACACATTATTTTTTGTGACTGATATTATTTTTTGTGACTGATTTGCATATTTTTGTTTAATTTAGCTTTATGTAATGTTTGTTTAAATTTCATATTAATAAAATAATTTATATTCATAAAATATTTGTATTTTAAAAGTTATAATTAAATTAAAAACCAAATTTTAGAATTCTTCATTGCATCCTACTATTAGAGATTCTACTATTAGAGATTCAAATTTGATAGAAATGTAATAGAGATTCTAAAACCAAAAAATGATTAAATTCATTAAAATTTTTTTAATGAATTAGAACTCCTCACTATATCTTATGGTTGGAGGTGGTGTGATGTTATGTTATGTTCTCTAGTTTTCTCATGTGCGTCTCACGTGCTTAATTATGGACATGACGCGTGCATGTCAAATGTCCCGCCACTTTTTTACCTTGTTTTCTGACAATGTCCATGTGGACTCGTCTCATTGGACAGAGGTTCAACATTATCCTTGCTGTATTTGCTTGGTGACGGGAAAATTAAGGTAGCTTTTGTTAATGCTAAAAAGAACCAAGACAAAAGCTACAAGAAATCATTAAGTTGATTTTCATATGAGAATTCAGGAATTATACACGTACGTTAATATTTATTGGTTTTTACAAAAAAAAAAACAGATTCTGTTAACGTCAATTCAAATTCTAAGTTTTGCAATATCCGGGGGAATAAATGAATAACATCATCCAGATGATTATAAAGATGACTCAATCGTGTACGTTATAACATGTGCTATAGACAACTCATCCATCTGTCATTCTCTTTTTTCCCATTTGCTATTGAACTTTTAGTATTTGTCCAAGATTATCTATCAATAATTGACGATCAATACTTTTTTACTTTTTAATTTTAAGAGTTTATTGAAAAGTTTACGACATTTTCACCCTCTATAATCACGTGTTTAAGTCACTAGTAGCCATCATTGTTCACTTTCAAAATTGTCTAAATCACCCCTATGTACCATTTCTATTGAAGAGTTGGAACAATGTGATCAGAACGAAAGTTCTACAAAAGATAACAAAACTAAAATGAACTACACTTGATTTGTATAAGTTAATGCCTTCACTTCTCACGATATTTTTATTCATGTTCATATATATGAATAATATATATCACATGTACACAAACTTTAAATTAAACATAACTTGAAAGTAGATTAGTTAAGCAGTTGAAAACCATAGTAAACCTCAATTAAGCTCGATATGAAGTGATACTAATGCATCGGCTTAATTAATTGTCCAACATTTAGGTTTATTAAAGACCATCATTTAGTCAAACATATATCATCAAATATGAATTTTAGTATGATCGCTATGCTAAACCAACACCGTGCTCCGTGTGTGGTTGTTTATGTGTCCTTATATATTCTATTTTTTTAACAGTCGATAAGTACATGTCTCAAAGATATTTGGAAGCATCAGTCATAAAACTAATTTATACTTTCGTTATCGTTCCTGCAATTCCGTATATCAAAGGCGAAACTATATTAAAGTTTGACTTGGAACTTGATTATTTTAAGCACAACCTCAATTGTATTATAAAAATATTGTGTTTATATCAAAAGGTGTTATATATCTATCAAATTTTATACTAGATTGGAAAAATGAAAATGCGGATAGATTATTTGCTGTAAAATCATCTAGATATAGTGTTGCTTTTTTGTCATAAAAAATAATGTGGATCATCTTGAGAAATATAATTCTAAAAGTCTAAACCATGAATTTTTGTTTTTTAAAAAAACATAAATATGTTTTTATATATTGTTTTGATTGTGAATTAGTGTCTTACTAGTATTAGAACCCATACTTCGTACGGGACCAAAATATTAAAGAACAAAAACTGAACTTGAAATATCACAATTAAAGTTGATGTTTTCTTGAGTCTTCAAACACACATTGAATCATCTTCTTTCCATGAAACATCTTTCTTTCTATTTTATACCAACTGTTTTACAGATCTGAATTTTAGGGAAATAATTACATCATAAACCCTTAACACAAAAAACAATTTTAAGTTGGGAGCAGAACCAACCACTGAGATAGACAGAGACGTATGGCTGCATGAGAGAGATGAATGAATCTTGCCATTAGCCATTTTTTGATATTTTGCTTGTTATCTAGGATACATCATAGACAGATGTCATTCTTTACTGGTGTTATCCTTGTTTTACTTGCCAGCCGGGAGAATAGTCTTCTCTTTTCCACGCCATTGTTTATGTCATAATGGTTGTTCCGATAATCATCCTACCTTCAAGAGATAAACATAATTAGATGATTGTGCTGAGATGCGAGAAGAGAGTTATAAGAAAGTAGAAAGGAAGCTAGCTAATTATATTTCTGTAATCGTTGCACAAATTGTGAATAAAAAATGAGTGTAATGCAAAACAGTCATGTAATTTACAAAACCTTATATAGAAATAGAAATTTGCATCGATCTTTGAAAAACCAGATTTCAGAAGCTCTATAAGCTATATACTTACTTACAGAAGGAAATCAATTTTGAAACTGAGAACTACTCACATATTCTGAATATGTATATATCTTTCAATCAGTCAAATTTCTTATTCTCATGATCAGATATTTCAATTAGGCATTTGAATAGCACACAAAGATTGAAATTGGAAGTACAACTAATTACTTTCCTCAAGTTCTCCAACTCGCTAACTTTTTATTGCTGGATCTCCCGTGTGTGTATATATACCATGAGTCCCATAACTTTTTTCTCTTTGATGCGTCCTGTTAGAAAACAAAAATTCAATAAGTTTTTTTTTTTGTCGAAGTTTGCGTGATCAGTACTTTGTTACCGTTCTCCATCCGTCAAAAAGCTTGAACCCTTGCTAGTTGCTTTTCTTCTTCGTGCTTTACCCAAATTTACAGAAACTTGAATACTATCTCTCTGTCACATAAGAAATTTATGCAAAATAGAGCACCGTAAACAGAGATTAGAAACAAAAAAATAAAGGTCAATATGAGAAACAAAAGATAGATTGATGGAGAAGAAGATAGAGAGAGGGAAACATGAAACAGTTTGAAATCGTGATGAGATTGAAAATTACAGTTCTTCGTGAGATTATGATATAGAAAGTAGAAATCGTTTCACAGATCGTGAAATCGTGGTTTTGAATGAGAAAATTTAGGGATTTTTATGTAGAGATTTTTATTTATAATTTTATGGTTTTAATTTATATTTTAAGTTAATTTTTTTTATTTGATGATTTGCCATTTGTCAACTTTTGATTAATGAAGTGACTTGTGCTTTAGTAATATAAAGATGGGAAGAAACTGGAAGCAAATAGGAAAAAGTGTAGGAACCGTGAAATCAAATATAATTTGCATAAAGGCGTTGTGAGATGCTTTGCATGTTGGAGGCGAATAACAAGTGAAAATTGTCTGGGAATCAGACTCCTAGCCAGGACATGAATGCAGATATGTAGAGGCGATAGACTTTCCACATCTCTACATCTTTCTTCCCGGCTAGATTTTAGGATCTACTGTTTACTAGACATTCTTAGAAAATTAGTAGTTTACCGGCTTATTTGGATGCGATTCTACTGAGAAAGCATATACGGATCAGTCGTTGAGATATCTACAAATAACAAAAAAAAAAAAAAAATCACTTCCAATACAAAGGTATGCCTACCTATACTACTTTGTGGGTACTAGTTCCCTTTTCATAATAAATATTTGGTATTACCTTTTCTCCGTATATCTTTGTGCACTTTCTAGAATTATAATTTACAGTTACCTTGTAAAACTTTAGAAAGATTGGACATATTTCTAGTTCATAAAAATGGTTACGCTGACATATGAAGTGCTTCCAAAAGTTCCCTAAATCTTATGCCGATATTTAGGATTATTTATTTGGTTAATTGTATGCAATTGTTAATATATGTATAGGTTGATTCGACATGACCAAACAGCTAAATTATTAACGACGATTGTGTATAATTTGTGTTTCTAAGGACGGCAGATTTTTATCTATCTTAATTAATCATTCGTGTTTGGACTTATTCGAGGAAGTTGTGTCCAGTGATAATTTATGCAATCAGACACACAAAGTCACAAGAAGGTCACGACATTCTCTGTCTCAACCATTAATTCATATGGAACTTTGGTTGTGTGCTAAAAAGTTAGTTATATACCCATACAGGGGAAAAGTTTTATGAGAATAAACAATAGAAAATAATACATTTCTCTTCATATAAATAAATGATAAAATGATAAATTAACTATATATGTATATATATATATATTCTGATTCTTTATACTAGATTGGGATCTGAACAAATAACTGAGACTGTATGCTAAATTATATTAATATGAAGCGGAATTAGACAGTAGCTTAATGATCAGCAGACTATAGGCTAAGTTCTATTAGAAGTCAAGTAATTGAGTGTTGCCTACTTCACGAGACAAATGAGTAAACCTAACAATAACATATAGAGACACTCGACGCCATTAGCCAAATTCCATTTGAGCCATCCAATTTCTTAGTGGATCTTCTTTGTCTCCAGCCCATCTTGTCTCCATAGTTTTTTAATGATTATTTTTTTTAGTTTTTTTTTGTTTGTGGTTGAACACCCAAATAAGATGGAATTTTCGAAATTTTTAATATGGAACTATTGTTCTTTTATGTTTGATATAATTTGGTTTTGAAATTGATATTCGTCATTCATTGGTATTACGAACATGGCTGTGTTAGAGAATGTGAAAGAAAGGTAAAGTAAAATATACAAAAGCAAAGATGAGGGGACAGAAGAGAAAAGGTATGTCTGCGATGCCCATCTCCATAAGTTGAGTGCCACATGTAGACCTTCTTTTAAAGATCTAAATTTATATGATATTTGTATAAGTAAAACTGTGGCAGACTTTAGCTTTGATATTCCGTTTTCCCCTCTTTTTTTATGTGTTTAAAAATACAGTTTTCATTCTACATTAATCTTCAAGAGATACATTTTCATTACAATTTTTTTTCTTACTACATTTTACTTACTCAAATAGTAAGAACATCTTGGTAATCCGTGCAAAAACTAAAAACAAATTCCATTTATTTACAGATTTTACCATATAGTCATTTACTCATTTACCCAAATAAATGAAACACTAAAGTCACGTAGCAAATTTACACTATAGTTATTATTTTATTTTATGATGCGATCGATTAGAAATATATAAAAAAAAAATTAGCTTTTACTTTTACACAAGAATAAGAAAGAGAAAATGAAAAATGAAATAATAAAAATTTACTAAAAAGGAACTTGGGTCGCCAAGTATTTGCTGTATAAAGAGGTGTAAAGTGGCCATCACTCCTTAAATTATATCCTCAAAGCCAAAGTTGCTCACTCTTTCACACACACACACACTGCTCCAAGTCCCCACTTCTTCTTCTTCTTCTTCTTCTTCTTCTTTAGCAAATCTCCCATCATAATACCTCCACACCGTTGCTTAACGGTTTCTTTTTATTCTCTCCTGTTTCCAATTTTTCCCCTCTATTTACAAAGATCATGATCTCGTGGCACGACCTATACACGGTCCTCACGGCCGTGATTCCTCTCTACGTAGCTATGATCCTCGCTTACGGCTCAGTCCGGTGGTGGAAGATCTTCTCTCCGGACCAATGCTCCGGAATAAACCGCTTCGTCGCAATCTTCGCCGTCCCTCTCCTCTCTTTCCACTTCATCTCCACAAACAACCCATACGCCATGAACCTCCGTTTCATCGCCGCCGACACACTCCAGAAAATCCTCATGCTCGGTCTCTTAGTCCTCTGGGCTAACTTCACACGCTCCGGTAGCCTCGAGTGGAGCATCACCATCTTCTCCCTCTCCACACTCCCTAACACACTCGTCATGGGGATTCCTCTCTTAATCGCCATGTACGGCGATTACGCCGGCTCTCTCATGGTCCAAGTCGTCGTCCTCCAGTGTATCATCTGGTACACTCTCCTCCTCTTCCTCTTCGAGTTTCGCGGCGCCAAGATGCTCATCATGGAGCAGTTCCCCGAAACCGCCGCGTCAATCGTTTCGTTTAAAGTTGAATCCGACGTCGTTTCCCTCGACGGCCATGATTTTCTCGAGACCGACGCTGCGATCGGCGACGACGGGAAGCTTCACGTCACCGTGAGGAAATCTAACGCTTCCCGTCGGTCTTTCTGTGGGCCGAACATGACTCCACGGCCATCGAATCTCACCGGAGCTGAGATTTACAGCTTAAGCACTACTCCAAGAGGATCTAATTTTAACCACTCTGATTTCTACTCGATGATGGGTTTCCCCGGTGGCCGTCTCTCCAATTTCGGTCCGGCGGATATGTACTCTGTGCAGTCTTCGAGAGGACCTACTCCGAGACCTTCGAACTTCGAGGAGAATTGCGCTATGACATCCTCCCCGAGATTCGGGTATTACCCGGGAGGAGGAGCCGGGTCTTACCCCGCTCCGAATCCCGAGTTTTCTTCAACAACTACCACATCCAATAAAGCCATCAGTAAAAATATTAAAGACATTAACAACAATCAGCAAGCCGGCGGCAAGGCCAATAATCATGACGCGAGCGCAAAGGAACTCCACATGTTCGTGTGGAGCTCCAATGGGTCACCCGTTTCGGACCGGGCGGGTCTTAATGTTTTCGGTGGAGCTCCTGATTCGGGATCGAATAATGAACAAGGTGGAAGATCCGATCAAGGTGCCAAAGAGATTCGGATGTTAGTCCCCGACCAATCTCAGAACGGCGAGAACAAAGGTTTAGAAAGAAAATGAAAATCCTTTGTATAAATCTCAAAACTCCACATTTTCTAAATTCAATTTTGTGTGGTTCATTGTAGGTCTAGCTCGTCCGGCGAGTGGAGACTTCGGGGGTGAACAATTTAGTTTCGCCGGAAGAGAAGAAGAAGAAAGAGCGAAAGACGCCGAAAGCGGGCTGAACAAACTTGCTCCAAATTCCACGGCGGAGCTACAATCGAAGACAGGCCTCGGAGTCGCCGCCGGAGGAGAAGCAAGTCACGGGAAACAGATGCCGCCGGCGAGCGTGATGACAAGGCTGATTCTGATAATGGTGTGGAGGAAGCTAATCAGAAACCCAAACACTTACTCCAGTCTCATCGGCCTCATCTGGGCTCTCGTCGCTTTCCGGTTAGTAACTCAAATCAAAAATTAATTAGAACCGATTGGTTCTTGGGAATTTGTTTAATCCGGGTTTTGGGAATATGAAGGTGGCACGTGGCAATGCCGAAAATCATTCAGCAATCTATCTCCATTCTATCTGATGCTGGTCTTGGAATGGCAATGTTCAGTTTGGGTAAGTCATCTTCGTACTTTTTTATTTTTTTATGTCATTTAAAAGGATAAAATTCTCCGATTCAGACATTCGTGCTAGTATTTATTACAGGAAGTTCCCTTAATTTTGCATATTTTCGTTGACATATTAACCATTTTTACATGATAATAGAATTAAGTTAGGTACTCCATAAATCTTGCTTTGTCATTTTTGAAGAAAATTTTAGAAGTGTAAATAAGATTAAAATAAACAAAAGAATTTGGGGATGGACCATCCGACAGGTGGGGCAGTGTTGTGAGTGTCTTATTAGATAAATGATAATGGTGGACGACATGGTCTCGTGTTGTTGATAGTCGTCATGGTCCCCATTTTTTATGGGAGTTGATTGGAATTTATAGACATATTGCATATTTATTTGTTTATTTACTGATTTCGAAATGAAATCGTAAAGGGTTGTTCATGGCGTTGCAACCCAAATTAATCGCTTGTGGGAACTCCGTGGCAACATTTGCTATGGCCGTTAGGTTCCTCACTGGCCCGGCCGTGATGGCCGTTGCCTCCATAGCTATTGGACTGCGTGGTGATTTACTGCGTGTCGCAATTGTTCAGGTAAAATTATTTTATTTTTGTATTTAACTACTTTGGCTTTAATAACGCTTATTAAAATGTGATTTTTATTTTGTTAAACGTTTTGATATGGTTTTAGGCCGCTTTACCTCAAGGGATTGTGCCATTTGTGTTTGCAAAGGAGTACAATGTTCATCCTGCTATTTTGAGTACCGGGTAAGTTATGGATTATATGATTAATATTCATAAGATTACTAATTAATGTTATCCTTTTAAATTAAAATTGTTGAACCAAATGATTTTGCAGGGTAATATTCGGAATGCTTATAGCGCTTCCGATCACGCTGGTTTACTACATTCTACTCGGATTATAAGCTTTTGATTATGAAAAGTGAAAACCCCAAAAATAGATCAATTGTAGAGGGAGAAGGAACAAAAGAGAGTTTCAACTTGTGGGTGGAACAGACTAAAAAAGCTTAGAGTATGTAAGTAAAGACTAGGGAGTAGCATGATTTAAGGATGATGATGCCTACATTACAAGCCAAGAAACCCTTTCTTCTCCATATTTTATACATAGAATATTGGGGAATGATTTGAGTAAGACAATGGGACGCAGATAAGGAGGAGCAAAACATGGGGCAACGAGACAAGATAAAGATAAATAAAAGATTGGAAGAAGAAGACAACTTATTATTTTTGTAACTTTTGTTTGTTTTACACAAGTCCCTTTTTCTCATGTGTTCTTTTATTAGATTTCGGGTAACAATTAATTGATTTCTGTGTAGTTTATTTTTCTTAGCGAAGAAAAGTGTGGTTTGATTTTTGAATCTCCTCTAGTTCCAGTTTCACATTGGCAAATAACGCTTTTGAAGCAAAGAGTTTCTAGGAGTAAAATCTTAGAATAATATACTCCTGTCTATTTTTCTTATTAAATTGTTGAGATTTTAGTAAAATATGTAATAAATGGGTGGATTCACTGATCCTTGTCTGCTGTGATAATGAGACTAGTGGATGAAATGGGTTAGGCGCTTTGGCACTGAAACCATTTCGTGTTATCATTAGTTAAGTTGATGAGTGATATAATTAGTAATCCATGTAGTGTGTAGGGAATAGGGATGATGAACAATTATTATAAAAAGGATAAAGAAAAGGGCCAAAAGGCAGAAAGATAACTAAAAGTCAAAAGCTTATATAAAAAGTTTAATAAAAGCTGCCTTTTCTTTTCTTTATTTGTTTTCTTTCCGTTTCTTTTTGTCAACCAAGTGGAAAATGCATATAAGATAAATTGACTGAAAATGACCGGTTTTTAGCTTACCCCGGCCATTTAATAGAAAGTTCGGCCATTTTTTCCTCATTTTGGGGTCGGTGTTTACCATCTAAAACCAACAAAGTTAACATACCATCACTGATTATGAACCAATAAGAAACAAATATAACTTGCATTACTTTAAAATGGTAGAACACTTTTAGTAGTATCTGATATTATAAATCAATGTTAGAAAACTTTTGGATGTAATTATTTGAAAATTTTATAATTTCCATTTTCCAACTTGCATACCATTCGAACCTTATAGTGCTTCGAAACCAGTGGTTCATGCACTCTATCACCTAATCCAGACGTGAAAAGATGGCAGTAATCACTAATCAGGGATTTATATGTGATTAATTAAGTAATTAGTGGGAAAAACGTTGATTTGGTGCCGAGTTTAATTGAATGTGTTACTGTTGTCGCATTGGATGGGAACATAAGGGGACGCAAATCGAAAGAAGTATGTAAGCAAGTTAATCCACCGTCACGGCTTAAAATTGGTCGGCTAATTGAATAATTAAATTGATTATCAAGATTAGCATTGTCTTTGTTTAAGAGTCTCATTAGACCAACATGCGTCGCACAAAAGCTGTAATGGGCTCCGTGCACCTCCAATTCAATCAATTAAATATCTTTATCTTTAGCCTATGGTATTTCTTGTTATTATCAAAAATTCGCCACGGAATCAGAAACATTTATTGGTAACTTCGTCATGTATTTTGGACTTTGGATAAAAGGGGAGTGTCTCGATGATAAAAGAGTACAATAATCAATTACGATGCATGATTAATTAAGCCTCCTACAAAAGGAGTACTATAAAAGTTTTTTTATTTATTTTTGTTTGAGGGAGAGCGAGGTACATGTATATAAGAGAATATATAAAGCATACGTGTAGTTATGGACTATATATAATGCCAATAATTTCAATATTTAAAACATGAATTCGCGAATCGATAAATATCAAATAACACTCGTTGTAGAGAATGGTTTTGCTAATCTCATTCCAAATGAAAAAAAAAAAATCTGGCTAATGATAGGCTAAATGCTAAACAAAAACATATTCGAATAAAATTATAAAAGTGAATATGCATATATAAAATGCATACAGAATCACTAATCAATTTTCACATATGATCACAATCTAAATAAGGTAACATTCGATTACATGAAAAATGAATTATAATAACAAAAATGAAAAAAAAAATACCAGCACATGATGTTGTTTAAGAATTACATATAAACTTTTGGTGTGGAAAGGGTTGTGTCATGTTCGAGCAAGAGACATGCATGGACCACGGTCGGTTTATAGTACGTGCGAAATGTGTATTTGAGCAAGCTCCGAAAGATCTTATTCACATAAAACAGGCTAATATTTTTCGATATATTTCAACAAAAAACTCAACAACCATAATTTACAATAAACCCGAATCAAAGATTTGGCGACCTAGCATAGGAACCCATGTCAACTAATCTCTCTAAATACCTTCATGTTACACAATGAAAAGATCTAGAAATCTGATACACATAATTACTACACCCAATTGCTCTTTGCTCTCTTACTCGCGTCTTTCTTACTTTTGAATCGCTTTTATAAATCATATTAAACCGTACGTAAATCATTCGGATTCTGGTTTAAAGCTCAACCCATACATACATTCTCTTTCTGTTTTGTGCTCTTTTGACGACCAGTTGTCTAAGTTCTGACTTACATGTTGGAGTATCCTTGAATATTCAAAACGTTCTTGCTCGTCTTCGTTCTTGTCACAGGTTCTTGTTTGCTCCCCATATGTCGTTTTAACCTCCAAGGTGGACTATAAAGTAAAAACCTTTTCGAAAATTTTAATAGTGAAACGATTTAAAACCCACCTAGTGAAAAATTTATGTAGTATATCCAATTTTGAGCTTAAAATTATATAATGTATTTTAAATGATCTAACTGTAACAATTAACTTCAAAAGAAAAAATGGCAGATCTGGAAAATGCCAGATGAAACATAGGCCTTTGGCCCCCAAATAATATACATGCATATATATTTGGTTTCTAAATTGAAAAAAAAACAATTATTAACATATTTATTAAATTATTTTTAGCCTTCAAATTCTCAGAGCTGACGCTAATACATGTATATATATATATATATGCTGAGTAATAATAGTTAGTGGTGATCTCACACAAGAAAATAGTTAGTGGTGGTAAAAAAGGGGTTATAATAGTTTGTGTACGACAAAAAGTGAATAGATCTTTAAAATATGTATGTTTCTTTCTTGTTTGCTTTCTCTTCTACTCGCGCGGGCTGTCTCTATACTATTATTATCTTTGCCCACTCTTCTCATGTGCTCACAAATTCCCCACATTGGCACCTTCTGTTACGTTTATCTCCATTGGATTTTTGCCGTTATAACATAGCTTTCACTGATTTGATCAAATTGGGACATCTAAAGGGTTTTGGCATAAGCCGGACTGTCCGGCCTACAACACGATGGGTGAAGCGTAGGGTAGGGACATAAACACGAATGCACAATCCGTTCATTGAACGAAGAAACCTTTGAAGATGATTAATGAAACTAGAGTGTAAAATGGACGTGGAATAGATAAGAGCTGCATGTGTACTATCCAATTGAATGCAAAGACAATGAATTGAAGTAACAAAAGAATGGACCCAATAGAAGAAGGAAAAGAACAACTGTGACTTAGTTGTCCCAGCTATGTTGAACGCAATGGATCGAGTCACCATTATACCTGTCGAAGGAGAAGAAAAAAAAAATGTGTGGATCACAATTAGCGAACGTAGAGCCAAATAGTCCCTCTGACCCTACACTTATGAAACTAATCATCCCAACCCCCTTACCATAAATGTGCATTTTCTTTTATAACAAAAGTGCATATTATTCATTGTTAGAATATGAGATATATTGTTGGAGCGGAAGGCATAAGAAATTGATATACTGGTTATTTCAAAGAATCAGTGAATGGACAGATCCTGCTCAAGTAAGGTCGTGAATCAGTGAATGGAGATTTTTCTTTATTTTGTTGATTCACGTTTGAATGCCGAAACAAAGATTGAAAAACTTTTTTATTTTATTTTTATATACCAAAATTACAAAAGTTGAATAAAACCCTAAAGATAAGAGATACCTTTTTTCTATTTAAAAAAAAAAAACTTAAAACCACTAAAAGTATATGATTATTATAATAAAAATGGTTTAAATAAATAATTATAATTGAAAGATATGTAAAAGTTATACCAGTAAACTAGTAAATAGATTAATTCATATTAGCGTTTAATCTTACGATACCGTCTTTCATTTTGATTAACCGATATTCTTCATATAGATCTAGATTCTGAGTCTATGGCTAAGAATCAGTTCGACAAGGATTTTTCACTAAGAATAAGGTAAAATATTGAGAAATTGAAAGAAGATGATTGGAGAAAAGTTATGAGAGGATGGGTATGGTGGTGTCCTCGTGTGCGTGGCTGCATTCTCGTGGCATAGCATCACGTTACTAATAATTGAAATGCAATACATAAAAAGTCATTAAAATCTATTTTAAAACCAATAAAGCAAAAAAAAAAAAAAGAGAGAAGAAAGAAACGTGAATAGATTAAGAGAGAGCGAAGGACAGGTGAAGGTGGGTGTCGGCCGAACCACGGACACCGGTCGGAGTCTCAAGAAAAAGGTAGCTTTGCTTCTGGGGACCATTCACACTCTCTCTCAATACACCCATGCCAACTCTAACCCCAATATCTTTTTTATTTTATTTTCGGTAACCACATATAGATAGATTAAAAAACATTTGATTAATGGAAACTACTTTATTTATTTATTTTTCTATAAATATAATTTTAATTTCCTTATGTTTTTATTTTTTTACTTCGTGATATATTTCTTTATCGTTTTGTTTGGGTGATTCGACACATTTTCAAAAATATTGATAATACATGTTGATGTTGTCATTTCTCTTCTCACAAATCAATGAATTTTCTTGATATTAGTGTGGTTATTTTTTGGGTATATTATATATATATATATATATATATATAAATATAGAGAAAACTAAATGAAAAAGAAAGAAGTGTATGGAAAAAAAAAACAAAGGAATGTAAAGGCAAAATACAAGTGTATTCCGGCAACAGTTTGGTTTTGGTGTACTTGCTGCGTTGTGTTTCATGTCCTTTATCTACTTTTCCTCACATTATCCCTGGTTCCCTTCACTTTTGTATTGTTTATTCAATATACTCGTCCATTTGATATATTCTTGTTATTTTTTTTTTTTTGTATTGTAAAGTGGTAACTTTACCTTTGCAAAAATAAATGAATTATAAGTGTTTTTTCCGCCTAAAGCAAAATATATTTTTAGGCCATTGTAAATAATTTGGGCCGGGCCCAAACACTTAGGCCGATTGAAAAGAACGTGAAAGATGATATACCCCCTCTCCTTTCATTATTCCCAGCCACGGCCCGGGCCAGCCCAGTTTACTTGTCTCTTCAAAAGCCCTTATTGGAAATGCACCTTATATGCCACAGGCACACCTTGTAGAATTTGAATTCTCCAACGTGAAATCTTTATGGGCTCGAGAAAAATTCTTATATTGGATCTTATCATAACAGCCGCCTAATATTCTAAATAAAACAAATATTTAAAATTTAAGCAATTATTCAGGATGAGTAACAAAAAATTATGGAATGGCGCTTATGACGCGGCGTAACCCTTTGCCACTATTTTTTAAATATCGATCCAATCTGCCGTCAGAGGAAGAAAACCGCCGTCTAACTTTATAACAAAGCATCTGGACCGTTGATCGTGTAAACCCAAACCCCGAAATAAACGGGCGTGATAACGGAGAACGTGATCAACGTCTGACGAGAAGACGACAAAAAAACAAAAACAAAAAAGCACATGACATGATTCTTTCACCCTTTCGTCTCCCAATCTCGATTCCTCTCTGCTTCAATAGTTGAATTTTTTTCCCAAGAGGAAACATTTTTGTTGACGAGAGATACAATTCAATGGCAGGAAGCGAGATTCAAGAGCCTTTTAGCCTTAGTTTCCAGGTAACTTCTTCTCCTAGATACAATCTCTCAAATGATACTCTGTTTCTTCTGCCTTAGATAAAAAATACTATGTTTCTTCTTCTACTACTCTTTTCATGGTTCCAGTTACTTAGAAATAGAACCCTTTTGTTCTTTCCGAATCTCAGTAACTTGTTTGCCTTGAATTCTACTGTTTTTAGCTAGAATACATTGTATCGTGGAAGTTTGTGGTCTGAAATCGAACTAAGAGAAGATGGCTCTCAGACACAGTTGTTTAGGATTGTTCTGATTGGTTAATGAATTATGGGATGATGCAGGCGAATTCTATCCACTCAGGATCGATATCGTTTGGGAGATTCGAGAAGGAAGGTATATCATGGGAAAAAAGGTCATCTTTTTCACACAACAGGTACCTTGAAGAAGTTGACAAGTGCTCTAAACCTGGCTCTGTTACCGAGATGAAAGCACATTTCGAAGCTCATTTCAAGAAGAAAGGGATCCGATTTCCGGCTTCTCTTGAGTCTCAGACTTGGGGAGTTCCTCAAAAACGTGAACCTGATGATAATGATGATGATGATGCTGTCTATGCAACTGAAAGTTTTGATGGTTATCGATCTGATGGGAGTTTCACGAGTAACTACAGCCATGAAGAAGAGAAATGTGGTCGTCAAGGAAAGAGTGATTGTGAGTACGATGAAGGAAGTGATCACTGTGTGAGCTATGATGAGATTGTGGTGAATTCGGATGATGTGATCGAGCTTGATGTTCCTCTAGACAATGATGAAGTTTCAGTTGAGTGCACAGCTATTAAAGAAGTTGGATGTGAGGATCTTGGACCCCATGAGATACCACTAGAGATTGAGGTTCGAGATTGCGATGAGCATAAAGAAGAATCGAGACTTGATCAAAATCTTCCAGAAAATGTGAGAGTAATTTTTGGTTTTTGCACTGTGACACATTCAAACATTTATATTAAACTTATATGTTTCTTGGTCTTCTCTTAGCCATCTGATGTTAAGGAAAGACCTTCCTCCTCCTCTGCATCTGGACCTAAGCCTCTTGAAAACATTCCTCATGCTATGAGTGTGACTAAAGTTTCTACAAAGAGACATGATGTAACTCCAAAAGCTGCCTCCAGGAGGACAAAGGGTTCTCCTTTAACTTCTTATTCTAAAATAAATGTAGATGCCAAGAGGTACTTTACTTTTCTTTCCATTCAGAAATGTTGTCACTTTGTGTTCATTTTTTCTCTTTACTTACGACCTGTTTGCTGCTTTTGTGGCAGCCAAAAGGAATCAAGACCGATGAAAACTGTTCAATCTCAACCTCCTACGTCAAACAAAACCGAGACTCCAACTCCTCTTGCTAGAAACAGGTCCAATACTAAGACAACTCGACTTTGTTTTTCGAGTTAATCGACTTTAACAATCTAAACGATTTCACGTGTAGGTGCAAGGCTGGTTCTTACTCTGGTAATGTGGAGATGAGTGCAAGAGCTTCTGGTTTCCGTTTCAAATGTAGCGAAAGAGCTGAGAAGAGAAAAGAGGTCTTCTTTCTCTTCAACAAAATAACAGTTTCTTCTTGAAACAACTTTTTTGAGGGTCTTCTGTAATTTCTTTTTCGTTTCAGTTCTATATGAAACTTGAAGAAAAAATACATGCTAAAAAGAACGAGACAAACCAGGTTCAGGCCAAAACTCAGGTATATATCATCATCATCTCCATGTATCTTTGAAGTTTAAAACAGGCCATGTCTTTATTACACTTCATAAAGTGCTAAGTGGATTGGATTACCATTTCGGTTGCAGCAAATGGCAGAAGCTGAGATGAAGCAATTTAGGAAAAGCCTCAATTTTAAGGCAACACCAATGCCTTCATTCTACAACACAGATACTAGACCTCGGTCTCATAACAAGGTATTTATAACTTCTAAAACACCAAGAAAGCAGCGAAGCAATCAACTCAATACTCTAAACTTGCTTTCTTTAAACATTTTCAGACCGAACCATCTAAAGTTGCACCACCAAGACCACGACATACGACCTCAGCCTCAGTTACAAACAGGTCGGCCACAAGAGTTGGTTATAAAGACGGTTTTGAAGAAGGTAAAACGGTAAAGGTAATGGTCGGTAATAGAAAACAGAGTAATGCTAAAGATTCGGATTTGCAAAAGGGTAATCTTGTGGAGGTTGAAACAAAACAGAAAATTGGAACTCTAAGGAGCGGGAACTAAACGTACAGATGATAGTTGGTATTCTGCGGTTGGCTGCGTCGCGTTCTGTTGCGTTCAGTCATCATCCTCTGGCTATTGTTTATCGTTCTCTTAAACTGAAAGTTGTAACTCTGCTAAGTACTTAACCAATAAGAAAACTATGAATAGTATAATTAATAACATCATTTATAAATTATAGGTCAATTTCAAACCTTGACATGAACCAATCAATCCTCGGATAAAAAGGAAAGTTCAAAGAATTGGCAAGTATTGTTTTCTCTTTTGTTCGGCAATGTAGAAGTGTAAGCAATCTAAGCATGTAGGAGGTTGAAACAGAGTGTTTTTTTTTTTTGTTAAAAGGTTGAAACAGAGCTGTTTGATTGAAAACAGTATACAAGGTAATCTGGGATGATAATTTGACAAGTCCTAGCATTTTTAAGAGTAGGATAAAAGACAATACAGATACTCACAAGTCACAAGTCACAAGTCACAAATACCAAATTTTATGTTCTTTTACAAAACAAAACTATCCAAATCCCAAAATTCAAAAATATTATAACCATTAGTTTTGGGTTTAAGAAGGGTTACTAAAATTTTAGCAATGAGCTTTACATAATTAGTAACCTTACTAACCTTTTGAAAACACTTAGTTACAGCTTATGGTAGTTTTATGCTTTTTACAACATCGTAGTACTGTATACAGTAGTGTATCTAGATAAAAAATTAGTTGGAGTATAATTTTATAAATAGGAAAAACAAATTTTAGTTGGGGCCATTTTTTATTTTTTATCACTAAATTCACCTAAATTATTTTTTAAAAAATTAAAACAGTAGGGGACATGACCCATAGTTTGTTAACTTCCTCCTCCACCCTGACTGTATATTTTTATTTTTGAAATTAGAACTTGGGGATTTATCACTTATGTGTTATTTTATACTCCCTCCGTTTCACAAAAAGTGTTATTCTGACATTTTTCACACTTATTAAAATAATTATTAAAAATACTATTTTGCTCTTCATTAATGTATTAAATAACTTTTTTTTTAATTAATACAATAAATCAATAGGGTCAAAACTGGAATATTGTTTAAAATTCTGCATTGAAAATATAAAACGATACTATTTATGAAACAAAAATAAAATTTTAAAAAGAGTGAAATTTTAAAAAGACACTCTTTGTGAAATTGTGGAAGTAATATTTATAAAAAAAAAAAAGTCATAACGTGAATTAATTGCAATTTGTCCATTCCATAATTTTCCCACTACTACGAAGTCACCAACCGAAAGTGACGTTCTCCACATTGGTTGTATTAATTGCACTTATCCTAATTAAGTATCGCGACAATAAACAACATGACGCAAAAAATTCAAATTATTTTAATGATAAAACATGATTAAAATTTAAAAGAAAAAGGAGGAACAAATAAAGTTCATAGCTAGCCTAGATAAGTAGATAGGCTAAACTTTTTTTTTTTTTCCAATTTGTTGATTAATGAATTCATCTTCTTTGGAAAATGCATAGCCATAATTTACACAAACTAGAGCATATTCTAAAGCACAACACCACTTTTCATATACTTGTTACAAAAAACACCACTTTTCATATTAGTATGAGATAAAGTTTCAACTAACAAAAATTACATTTTAACTCGTAAACAAAGTGTTACCCATAAAGAAACGCAAGCACCACAAGAAGACTTGCCACCGTTACGATCTTGACCTTTGTTTTCACCGAAACAGACGAAGACGATGACTGATCCGTCTGATGAGGAGGCTTTCTGTAGTAGAACGGAAAGTATGGCAAGATAGGGTCCGGCGGTGGAGGACCGTAATAACCACCGCCGGAATTGCCTCCAACGTACGGTGGAGAAGGGTAATTCTGTACATTACCCGACGGAGGAGGGTAATAACCGGTTGGAGGAGGGTAGTAACCGGTCGGTTGAGAGTAACCGGTCTGTTGAGTGGAGCCACCGCCAATTGGCGGCGGGTAACAAGGGTACGGACACGGCGTCTCCGATATGGTCGTGAACGGGAAGTTCACAAGAGAAAAGATGAACAATAGACTTGAGAGGTGACGGCATCGTTTACTCATGGCTAATTTTCTTTTACGAAAGGATAAATTTTTAATATGGTAAACAAGAAAATGTTTGAGTAAGAGAAAAGAGAGAGAGAGAGGTTGGAGTCTGAGTGGAAATCATTAAGTGAGGGTTCTTTGAAAAAAACTTTGGTTAAATGTCTTTATAAACAATGTATATATCTATTTATGTGATTCAAGACAAGTCACAAAAGACTAGACTAGTGATGAAAACTGTTGAATAATGACGCCGATAAATAAGGTCAATGAGATCTAACGTGTCTTGTGGATACGCTTGTTGTCTTGTAAATTATAACTTTGTCCTTCTTCAAGGAAATCATGAATTGCTCTCACCGCTTGATGGATACAATCACTACAAGAAAAACATCATTTTACGACGGCCGAAATGGTCGGTAATTCGTCGTAATAGGGCCATTACGACGGATTACCGACGATTTCAAAATCGTCGTAAACTCATCGTCGTAATAGACAAATCGTCGTAAAATCGTCGTATAATATACGACGACTTTGTTTCGTCGTAACATCGAGGCAAACAAAATCGTCGTAAATGCGTCGTACAATTTACGACGAGTTTACATCGAATTGCGTCCACTTGGTCTTCACCTAAACCGTCGTTAAGTGGTTGTTAATGATCGACGTAAGATCGTCGTAAAATGTACGACGCAATAATCGTCGTAAATCAGTCGTAAAGTATTTCTTCATTGCGTCGTAAAATCGTCGTAAATCTCGGACATATAATCGTCGTATTTGTCATCGTATATTATAGTCGTAAAGTTGTCGTAATATGTACGACGACATTACGACGGTTTGAATAAATCTATTACGACGATTATACGATGATTTATATATATGAAAAATAAAAAAAAATTAATTGAAAATTTAAAAAAAAAAATAATTCGAATTAAAATTTAAATAAAAAAAATAATTTACAATTTGAAAAATTTTAATTTACAAAAAAAACCCTACAGGTCATCTAAATCTAAATGTATATCGTCGATCCCGTCACCGGCCTCCTGGACATCGTCTTGGACGTGCTCCTTGCCGGGTCTTCGGTTTGATGGTCCCGCCGCCTGATCTCCGGCTCCGGCTGTAGGAGGGTCGACCCCGAGAGATCGGAACATCTCCGCGTCCGTTTGCACCGGCGGCGGTCGAGTCCTAGTAGATGACCCGACGGCAGACGATCCTCCGAGAACCCCATCCGCCTTCAGCTTGTCCAACTGCGCCATGAGTACCGGGTTGTCGGCTCCCATGATCTCGAAAAGACCGTAGAGCATGTCGATCTTCGTCTCGTACCGGTCGATCGTCGTCTCGTACTGGTTCCGCATCTGATCGATCTCCTGGCGGATAACCGGATCCGCCGGAGCCCGGACGTGACCAGTCGCCGTAGCTCTCGGGATATCACGGATGGACCCCATCCCTAATACCCGCCCCTTTTTCTTTGGGGCAACCTACAAACATATAAAAACATTATGGTTAGGAATATAATTAATTTAAAACTAAAGTTACATTAATTAAAAAAAGTATTCATAATTAATTACGTACCTCTTCGAAGATCTGGTCCATCTCCGCGACCGTCAGCGCCGGGGTCGATTGGACCGAGCTACCTCCGTCAGACGTTTGACGCGCCTGCTGAGTCAGCTGCGTCTGTCGCTCCTCGATCGCCGCACATGCGGCGTTGTAGATCTCCTCCGCCCGAGGATCCGTGAATTCGCCGTTACGCTTTTTATGCGTCTCGGCGAAAACCTTCGTCATCGGAGGAAGTTCTCCTCCGTTATCTTCGACCTACAAAATAAAAAAGAAAAAATTAATTAGTATCAAGAAATAAGAGTTTAATTATTAGTTGAGAAAAAAAATTTAAGATTTTTCAATGTGCTTACCATCATAAGCCGTCTTCCGGCAAAAGGAATCTGGCCGGAAGTGTGCGGGACGTTCTTCTTATTTCCCGCATCGTCAGTAGCGTTCCTGAAAAATATTTTGATTAGAATCTATTAAAAAAAGAAAAAAATAATGTAAATATTAATGAAATTAACTACGACTTACCTAGATACAGAACACTTGGCGGCGGTAGTCTGGTTGGTTGGATCCGACCAGAACTGGACAAGGCCCTGCCAGACGAACTTGGACATAGGCGGCGGCTTGGCCTTGTCGCCCTCGTCCTCCCACTTCCGTTTCCAGTCGGAAACGGTGTTGTTGAGGCGGAATTTGACCTTTTCTTTGAAGGCCGTCTCCACACGTCCGTGTGCGGATGGTTCCCAATGTCAGTTTTGCTAGGAAAAAAAAAGAAGTTAGTAATTATTGTAAAAAGATAAAATTTAAAAATAAAATTAAAGGAAAGTATTTACCGCAAAACACTTGAACCAAGTGTCAAGTGTGGCCCGATCCAGCTTCTTGTAGCTGGTATGGGGTTGTACGAAAAACCCCTTGATGATATCCGAAACGTTACGACCGACTGCATTGTCGGTCATAAACCTAGTCAAATAAAAAAATAAATAGTTAATTAATATCAAATATATTAGACGAAAAATTAATTAATTTAAAAATATTGTTGGGAAAATTTACGTACCAATAGGTGCCGGGGGCTCGATCCGGGTCGAGTTTGTTCATGCTCCAACGACCGGATTGCGCCAGAAGATCATGTACCGTATACTGGGCATACGGTATAGGCGGGATAGGATCATCGTGATCAGGCTCGGCCTGTGCGGGAGCCGCTGGTTCGACTGGTTGTGGTGGAGGCGGTGGTGGCTGCGGAACAACGACCGGTTGGGAAACCGTCTGTTGTGTTCCCGAGGACTCCAGGATGGCTGAGCCGGTCGCCGAGATAGACGGAACCGAATCGTCAGAATCGAAGAGCTGTCGGTAGTGAAATCTCTTTTTCCGAGGAGCCATATCGACAGAATCTATTAAAAGGAAAAAAAAAATTTGTTACTAATTTTATTAAAATTAACAAAATCCGGATAAATCTAAATTCCGAACCTAAATCTAAATTCCGAACCTAAATCTAAATTCCGAACCTAAATCTAAAAGAATATGTAATGAAATTAATTTAGAAAAAAAAACTTACAAGTAATGGCTGGAGAGCAGGGAGAGAAGGAGTGATTTTTTTTAGAGAGAGAAAGTATTGTAGAGAGAGAGGGGAGAAGAGAGGAATGAGCGACGAAATGGGGAGGACTCGCGTCCCTTATATAGATTTTGTGATCGTCGTAAAACCGTCGTAACACGATTTGGTTGTATAAGAGTCGGTCCACTGCATGACACGACACATGTCGTGATGTCATCGTCGTGAAGTCGTCGTAACTTTACGACGGTTTTACGACGAGTAGTCCAAAATCGTCGTAAAACCGTCGTAACGTCTAAACTTTAATAACCTCGTACCTCGGATCAAGAGCCTATCCGGTTCAAACGTTACGACGGTTGTACGACGATTTTGGGTTTAATCGTCGTTCGACCGTCGTATAGTTACGATTATATTACGACGGTTTTACGATGTTTTTTAAAAAAGTGAGTAAACCCTAAATCTTATAAATGGGATATTGCATAAAGAAAAATGCAGAGGTTATTGTATCCTAACATATCATAAAAGGTTTACAACTTTGCATGTATGATGAATTTATGACATGAGATAGTAAAAAATGAAATTCCGTAATCAAATATATAACCTTTCACTTAACATTTACGAAAACATGCACGACCTTATAAATATGTATGTTTTTTTTCAAATTTTTAATTTTGATCAGATTGATAGCATTTCATATAAAATAAGATAACCAATCAAAAACAATTGTGAAATACCTTACAACCAATAAGATATAAAAGATTCAAATTCTTGGATTTCAACATTACGACGGTTTTACGACGAACTAGTGTACTCGTCGTAAAACCGTCGTAACGTTACGATGACATTACGATGGTTCGTCGTAAAGACGTCGTAATGTCTAAACCCTATTCATTCAGGGCAAAATAGTATGACGTGAAGTGTGAAGTCTCTTGCGTTAAGCTTCCCGCCACAATTGAGCCTTCCACTTTAGCTAGATTTTGGCTTTGCCTTTAAGATGCTTCAAGAAACGCTCGAACGGATACATCCACCTGTACTGAACGGGTCCACCGAGCTCTGCTTCGTATGGGAGATGAACAGGAAGATGTTCCATAACATCAAAAAATGATGGTGGGAAGATCTTTTCCATATTGCACAACAAGATTGGAATATTCAATGCTAGTTGTGATATTACATAAACTGATAATGTTCGTGTACTAAGATCCCGAAAAAAAGCACCAATGCCTCCAATAGCTTCATGGACGTTTTTGGGCAAGAGTTCAGCAAATGCAAATGGAAATAATCGTTGCATAAAGACATGGCAGTCATGGCTTTTCATCCCAGCAAACTTTACCCCCTTCTCAACAGATTTGGAAAGATTAGAGACATACCCATCAGGAAATTTAACGTCAGAAGAAACCCATCTGAACAGTGCTGACTTTTGATCTGCACTCAACCGAAATACAGGAACTGCTGCTTTCCCGTTTCTCAGATGCAACTCACTTCTGTTGCATAAATCAGGCAAATCCAATCTTGATTTACCATTGTCTTTTGTTCTTCCCGCTACATTCATAATTGTATGCATGATGTTATCAAAAAAGTTTTTTTCAATGTGCATGACATCAAGATTGTGTCTGAGCAGATGATCTTTCCAATAAGGTAGTTGCCAGAAGATACTTTTCTTGTGCCAATTATGATGAACTCCATAACCTTCAGGCATATTTGTAGGAGTGTGCCAGTTTCCCCCACGAGTTATTGTTTCTTCTGCCCTCCAATGATCTATTTGCACCTGTATATCAGCTCCTGTTAAATTAACGGGAGGAGGAACACGTACACTTTTGTTCTTCAAAAATAACCTCTTGTTCCTCCGATATGGATGGTTATCCGGTAAAAACCTTCGGTGACAATCAAACCAACAAGTTTTTCTACCATGTTTTAGCTGAAACGCATCAGTTCGATGAAGACAATAAGGACAAGATAGCCTCCCATGTGTAGTCCAGCCTGATAGCATACCGTAAGCGGGGAAATCGCTTATTGTCCACATAAGCACAGCCCGCATAGTAAAATTCTTCCTCGTAGAACAGTCATATGTACGAACGCCAGTATACCATAACTGATTCAACTCATGGATGAGTGGCTGAAGAAATACATCGAGAGCTCGCTTCGGATGATTTGGACCTGGAACCAAAATACTTAGGAAAAGAAATTCCCTTTGCATGCACAAATCTGGAGGAAGGTTATAAGGAGTTAGGATTACTGGCCATAATGAATATTGTCTACCAGACATACCAAATGGACTAAAACCATCAGTGCACAGACCAAGATAGACATTCCGTTTGAACTTAGCAAAATCTGGGTATACCATATTGAAGTGTTTCCATGCCTTTGCATCTGATGGATGAACAACTTCTCCATCTACTTGTGTATGTTCCGCATGCCATCTCATTGATGCAGCTGTCCTTTCAGATTGATAAAGCCGTTTTAACCTATCAGTTATAGGGAGATACCACATACGTTGGTACGGTATCCTTTTACGCCCACCAGTTTGAGGCCTGTATCTTGGTTTATGGCAAAATCGACATTCCTCCAGCTGATCATCGTCTTTCCAAAAAATCATACAATTGTCAACACATACATCTATCATCTCAGAAGGTAGACCAAGACTAAAAATCAACTTCTGAATTTCGTAGTATGTTCCCGCTGCCAAGTTATCCTCCGGTAGATACTCCTTCAGAAGATCAGCCCAATCATCCATGCAAACCTCAGCCAGGTTATGATCTGTTTTAATTGACATCATCCTAGCTGCCAACGATAATTTAGACAAGCCTTCTCTACATCCTTCGTAGATTGGCTGATTAGCATTGTCTAACAAATCATAAAATCGTTTGGCATCTACATTAGGTTCCTCAACAGCATTACCCGTATGCGTTTCATGAAATGCATCAGTCACCATTTCGTGCATCCTATCATGATCTACACTTTGGTCATATTGATACTGATTAGGCTGATGACCATAATTCGATTCATCAATATCAACATGACTTTGGTAATTACTACTACTACCAGCATTCCCATGAGTATTACTGCCATATCCTTCTCCATGTAGATACCAAACAATATATTGCGGCATAAACCCTCTATTTAATAAATGCGTCCACACGGTTTTGGTTAGTGTATACCTCGTATTCTTGCATTTCAAACAAGGACAAAACATCTTCCCACTATCTTTCGTTATCTCCATATTTGTAGCCTGATACATAAATATTTCTAACCCGTTCTTGAATTCTTCTGTCAACGCCCCATCTGAATCTTTACGCATATACATCCAACTTCTTAGCTCGTATATAGACATCTTGAAAATAAACTCAAAATAATATCTCTTTTTATTGATTAGACAATAACTATATATAGGTGGTCTCTTGTGTCACGTCTAGCCACGTGAATGAAGTAAATTAACCTTATAATATTATTACTTCTTTGATTCAAAGTAATATCTTAATTCGGGTTTTCAGCAATGGACAACCCAATATATAAGGATTTACAACACTATACTAAAATTTAAGAGACCTACAATGGGTCTCCAAGATGAAGATGCTCTTATGTTTGAATGATGATGTGTTCTGATTGAATGAAGGAATGAAGATCTATTTATAGGAAAATTTCGGGCTTTACATCGCTTTTACGACGACTTTTTACGACGGTTTTATATTCACCAATCATATTACGACAAGTTTACGACGATTTTGCGATAATCTACAATTGTTAGGTACACATGTTTTAAATGTTTTTCACCTAACTCCTTTTTCGACGTACAATCGTCGTAATATGTACATCGAAACAAAGTCGTCGTAAAGTCGTCGCAAAATTACGACGAATATACGACGACTTTACATTTACTAGCAAATCTCTCGTTATCGATGTATAATCGTCGTAATTCGTCGTAAATTGTACGTCGAGTTTACGACGATTTTTTTATACAACGGTTTTTAAATTAGACGTAAAATCGTCGTAAAATCGTCGCAAATTTACGACGATTTCAAATCCGTCGTAATGGACCGTCGGAAAACCATTGTTTTCTTGTAGTGAATAAAAACAGATTTTTTTTTGCTGTAAATTAGCCACTGATATTTATTTTTATATATGTAACGAGTAAATTTTACGTTCCATGGTTCAATCATATAAAATACGAGTTGATCGCGTTAGTGTTAAAGACTAATTTATCCTTATTAATCTGTTTTTCTTAAGGAATACAGTAAAAAAATTCTGCTCAAGAAATAAAGCAAAGAATATATTTTAATCGGCAAAGAAAATAATTTTTATTTGTTGTTAAGACGTTACTTCTGAAGTAGCGTAAAATATTAGTATATTACCATTACATTGCTGTCGATAATTAAATTACAAAACTATTTACATGATTTTAACAACTATGATAATGTTTTGTGGCTCAAATATAATAATTAGACATTTGTTTAACATTTCTCACGACGATGATAATAATTCAGAGAATTTTTTGTTTGGACATCCAGTTCAGACAAAGCACATGCTGTAAAGTAGAAGGATTTTGAAGGGTTAAGTTAATCGCATACTAAGACAATATACAGTGTGGTTTAAATCTAAAGTCTTTGGTAGTTAATAACAAAATAATGACCACGTACTACTAAATAAGTATCATGTGATAGTTTTTAACCCCAAAAAAAAAAGTATGTGGAAGAGTTACGAAATGGTTATTATCCTTTAATTATGTTGCAGCTCCCAGACATTTTATAAGAGGACCACTTAGAGAATATTCTTGTGCACGGCATGAATAATGCCACGTAATAATATTCATATATTAGATGATTCATGTGAGTATAGAGGAGAGAGCTTCAATGCAATCACTAGCCAGATGGTACGTAAAAGCTTATAATTAAGCACAAGCTGTGATTTGCTCTATTATTTACCACCTTATCAGATTATACAATGGAGTACCTTTGAAAACTTAAGAAAAGAAAGGGGGAGTATACTAATATGTTGATTCTTGTTTTTTTTTTTTTTCTTCCATTCTTTTTAATTTATTCTCTTGAAAAGTTGAAAAGCAAAAATTAAGAAGAGATGGGGTGGGGTTGGGATAATACCTTTTTTATCAACCTAGTAAAGTCAAGAACATCATATCGGTTATTCGAATGAGCTAGTATGTCATAAATTTGTATGTTCAAAATGTTTCTTCACCGAAATACAAATATCCCTTTCAACTAAGAATCGAAATATAGAGACTAGATTTCACTCTCTGTCTATCTTAAAATGGTCGAACTTTCACCACTAATCTTCCGTTATTTGATTTTTTTTTACTTAATCGATCACTTGTGTGAGGAATATTAGCGTTGTACATGTCATGCTTAGGTCGGTTCTTTGGCCCTACGTTTTGGTGAAACTCTAGCTCAAATGGACGTCTCTCCCTCTCTCGTATTTTATTTTATTAAAAAATACTCAATTCATTTATTTCATGAACCTCCTCTTGTTTCGATTTCTTTAGCTTTTAGTTACGTATTCTGACGCTGAAACCAAACAATATTTTGACTTTTTTCTTCAAATTATCTTTATCAATGTAAATAACTTTTTACAACTTTTTCGACGTAATACTTAATTTTTTTTTTTTTTTTGAATTGACCGAATACTTAATTTTGCTCATACCTTAACAAAGAAACTACATAAGAAAGTTTCTCTGTAAATTAAACCTTGAAAAATTAATAAACGTATTCATTAGTATTTTTTAATACAACGACTGAACGACATATGATGATACATCAACTCATGTTCATCAAGAAACCCATAACTCCAAACGCGATCACACCCGAGATCTTCACCACCGTGAAACTTTTTCCAGCCGCCGCTCCAAACTGTTGGTCAACGGGATACAACTCACCGGGTGGACCCGTCATGTATATGTAAGTCGACGGAGGCGGCGGACAGTTAGACTTCTTCTTCGGCGGAGAAGGAGGCAAGGGTGGTGGAGGACAAGAAGGAGACGGTGGTGGAGGTGACGGAGGAGGAGGAGGAGGAGGATTCTGGAGACAAGGTGTGCACTTTATTGGTTCCTCTTCGAGTTTTCTATTAGCTGAAGATTCTGAAGCGTTGATTATCATCGGAAACGCTATCGCCGTGAAGATGATGACGATCAAATATGAACGGCTAGTTATTTCCGGCATGTCGAGAATATCGTTTTTAAGAATCGAATAAAGAGTCTTGTGTGATTTTTTTTTCTTGTGTGGTTCTTTCGCTTAGACGTGAAAAAAATGAGAGAAAATATTTTTTTTTATGGCGGTGGTCTTGTTTGATAAGAGGATGCATGGGACTGATATACTTCTTCAAGGCTGTATACTTTTATCCAATTTTTTTTTTTAATTGAAAAAGATGAATATAGTATAATTAAATACCTTATACATTATGCAATGTGGGAAAAAAGAAGAAGAAGAAGAAGAATACATTCGATTCGATTGTAAAATCGTCGGCTTTTGCATGTGAGTTGGAGCTTGAATTAAGGGGTCCCACATGGACCATTTTCATGTAATCGTATTACTAGCTAGCTCGAAATATAATTAATTTTAGGCATACAGTGGAATTATTAGCATATAATCCACTGTCGTCCACCCAAAAATAAAAGTATATGCTGTTTTATAGGTGCACCAAAAGCCTAAAGGTTTCCAATTATTTGTTACCCTTTGTTTGATGACACAAATGATTGATCGTAATCTGGTTTCAAACGTTAAAAGCGTATATGTATGACTGTGTATAGTGTGTAACTAATATTGTTGCCAAAGCGTGAATTGGTCGCTTTTTCCTACAAAAATAATAAGATAATCTCATCTTTAATTTAGAGTTAGTCGAGTGCATTAAATTTTAATTAATTTTGTATATCTAATCTCTTAGTGCCGAAAAAAACGAAAAAGTTGAATAAGGCTTATTTCAAATCCTTTAAAACCAAAAGAAAACAACATATAGCTACTAGAATTTTAATTTGTTATAAGTCTATGGACCAGTGTTAGCTAACATCTTTACCTAAAAGGAACAAAAAACGATCTCTTAATTTTTTTCTGTATTAAAGAGAGAACGAACCGTAATGGTTTGGCATAATTTACGAAATAATTCGGGAAAGACAGAACAGCAGCCTCTACATAAAACTATATTCCAAAAAATGTTTCTTTTGGTAGCCATCGCACATGCAACGAGAATAAATGGACATGTCATTAATAAGGCACCGACTATTGTAGCTACATTGGTCCATTCCATATGTACTACAAATTAAATTCTAATCGTTTTTCTTTAATTTTAAAGCATTCAGATTTGAGGTAAGCCTAATTTTAAAATTTTCGTTTTTTCGAGCAACACTTTAATTTCCTTAGTATATACGAAGAACAAGATAAAGTTGGACTATATTCCAAAGCTGGAACCGATAATATGCTACCAACGGACTATATGAACCGGAATAAGGACTTGAGCCCATATTAGCATTGTCTTCTAAAACTAACACGAGCCTAGGACGAAAGTTTGGGCTACATTTGCCATTTTTATCTTTCTTCTTTTCTGTTTTGTAAAAAGACATTCCAAATGCCATTTGTTTTTGGATAACAACAAGCTCTAACAGTATATTAGAGAAAAAGCAATTACAAACCTATGCTTTTTAAACCTGATAACAATTTCAAGGGTACTTGTTAACAACAGCAAAACTTGGGAAAAAAAAAAACCTAGAGCCATTTTCGTTTCTTGTCCCACAAGTCAAAAAAACGTCTGTCTTATCACAGAAGTGTGAGATTTTGAGGCCAAGCAGGACAGTGATTCTTCAACCATTAGTCCGTGGGATGCAAACTCGAAATATTTGAGTATTTCGGATCTAATTACAGTAGCTGCTCTGAGGACAGAAGTCGAAGCTTGAAACTGGTAAAGACATCTAATAAGGCCAATCTACCGGTTGGTTCAAGTCAAATTTCATATCCATTGGTCCGTTCTGGAACAAGGGTTCTGATTGGAACTCGTAAACCATATCATTGACCATTGTCTGCAACTCCTCCAAGCTGTATTGCTTTTCCTGCACGTAACCATCATCACACCGTTAACGTGTGTGCGAAGAAAGAAAGAAGCAAGAGCAAAGTTAGGTTAAAAAGAAATCGAGCTTTTTTTTACCTCTCTTCTCGTCTGAGCCATGAGTGAAACCATCTCTTCAACAAAATCAAAGTACCCCTTTCAGCACAAAATTAAAACAAAATCAGCTTTTTTTTTACCGAAACGATTTACAAATATCTTCAAAAATCGCAATTGAACTATATGTACCTCATCTTCTTCAGTATCGTAGAGTCCCACATCGTACATACTTCGTTTTCTTTGATCCGATAACACTGAACATTACAAATAGGCAAAACAATGTTAGTTTGTGCTTCTTCGTCATGACAACAAAACAGAGACCGAACAGATCCTTACCTGAATAAGCTTCTTGAATCTGCTGGAATCTTCGTTTTGCTTCTACAGATCTCAAAGGATCTTTCGTCCACCGATCAGGATGCCATTTCTTCACCGGAAAAAACAAAAAAAAACAAAAAAATGTCAACACACATTCCTCTGTAAAAATTGTCATATTCTCCAAAACAAGAAGACAACAATGACTCACCATAGCTAGCTTGTGATAAGCTCGCCGTATCTTCTCCGCCGAGGAATCCACGGCGACGCCGAGAATTTCATAATACGATGGAAAAGTTGACTTAATGCCACCACCTTCCATTTTGGTTTAGATTTTATAAACTATTCACGAACACATTACACAGCGCAAGAGATATTTTGTGGGTTTATATAAAGGTAAGGAGGTGACTCCAATGGCGGTTATATATTGGAAGAAGATTCTTTAGTTTACACAAGAATTTCTAGAAGTTTTTGTTGTCTCCAAAAATATCTTCTGTCAAGAACCTTCTGGACTATATTATCCACAAGATGGCTTTAGATATTTCTAGATTGGACGGCTGCGATTCAATGGACGGTCACGTTATATCGTGAACATGACACGTAGATTTAAATAACTAAATTGGAAATTGTGGAGATGATTATGGGATTTTTACTTTACTTGTCCAAAGCAGATAAGTCATGCTTCGGCGAACACAAAACGCGGTGAACACAGTACACGTAATCTTTTTTTTTTCTTTTCTAATTTACATTCAAATATGTGATACAATGTTTCCCTCCAAAGATTTAACTAAATTAAATTGAAAATTTATTGGGAATAATAATCATATTGTATAAATAATATCAAAGTGTGGTTAGATAACTCCTAGTTATATATTAGGATAAAGCTTAGAGTCGGTTTAGAGTTTATCGTTAACAGATGCACTGTGTATAAATACCTTAGTTGGTGATTCAATAAAGTCAAGTCATTACGTTATCAAAATCTACATGGTATCAGAGAAATTCTGAAATCTAAGATTGCAAAGTTTTTTTTTATTGAGTTTTCGAAGTTCTCTTAAACACTCGTCCACAACTATATTACTCTGTTCATATTTTGTCACAGTTTATGCAACAGCCAAAGGAAGCACATTGGCTAGCAGCACTTCGGGTGGTGTGGTTTTTAAAGGGGTCACCAGGTCAAGGGATTCTTCTCAAGTCGGATTCTGATCTTACATTTACAATTTATTGTGACGCTGACTGGTCGTCTTGTCCCTTAACTCGGAGGTCTCTTAGTGCTTTTGTTGTCATGCTTGATAGCTCTCCTATCTCTTGAAAAACTAAGAAGCAGAAGACAGTGTTCCACTCTTCGACTGAGGCCGAGTTTAGGTCTATGGCAGCTGCGCTTCGTGAAATCAAATGGGTACGCCGGTTGGTTACAGAACTTGGTGCTGCGCAGACAGTTCCAACTCGTTTCTTTTGTGATAACAAAGCAACAATCTCCATTGCCGCGAATCCTGTTTTCCATGAATGTACCAAGCATATCAAAAATGATTGTCATGCAGTTCGAGATGCAGTTCAAGGGTTTTATTATAACAAAGAACATTTTTTCGGACTTTCAAATCGCAGATATTTTGACTAAAACTTTTGGACGAGTACCATTTCAAAATTTAGTATCCAAATTGGGTGTTCAAAATTTTCACCTCCAATTTGATGGAGAGTATTGGGGATAATAATCATATTATATAGATAATATCAAAGTATGGTTAGATAACTCCTAATTATATTAGGATAAAGCTTAGGGTCGGTTTAAAGTTTATCGTTAACAGATGCTCTGTGTATAAATACCTTGGTTGGTGATTTTCATTACGTTATCAACATCTACAAAACTTGAACTATAACTTTTGCCATTTACTATTACTACTAACACGGTAGTAACACCTAAAAAGTGCAGATTTTTTAAGTTTCTTTCAAAAAAAAAAGGTCATCAGTTCAAAATTATTTTTATTCGTTTCTTTTTTGTCAGATCCAAACTCTTGTAAATGTACCAAACTATTATTAAAAATGTGTAATGATTATAGTTGGACCAATGGGCTTTGACACACGGAGCCTACCTAACTTCATCAGAGAAGTGCATTTGAGAAGAGGTATTGTTAGTTGAAACTGACGGCAAAAACACATTGGCAGCTCCCATCTTTAGTAATTCAAATACTCTCTTTTACTTCTCCTTCTCTTGTACAATCGATCAGCTTTTACAACAAAAAGCATTCACTTGATTCAGATTTAACGAATGTTGTGACTTTGATCATGTTTACAAAAAAGGTGGTATACCATTATCGAGCGCCGAGTAATAGAGCACTTCATATAACATTTCCATTCTATTTTTTTTTTTCATGGATAATTTTTTATTTTTGCTTTTAGGGTGTGACATTGTTCGGCTATGGAACTCCATTAATATTAGTATTCAAGAATTTAAAGCTAAAAATCACACATATCTTGTACATTCATTACTTTTTACATTTAAACTAAAGTAAAAAATGGTAAGTTCTTTTCTGGCCTTTACTAGATCATATTCAATACTTGAATAGGATCCTTCACTATATTTATTTCTTGAATAAGATAGTTCACTGCATCTTGTTCAAGTATTAAATATATAACAAGTTAAAAGAAATGTTCCATTCATTTGTTGACAATTTGTTAAGATTATATATTCAGGCATTCAGCTCTAACGTTTTAGTTGTTCAATTGTTCGGCTAATAACTCGGCATACTGTTCATGACTTATTTGTTTTGAATTATCACTCTGTATTTCATGTTCAATCGAAGCCTTTTTGTCTACTAGTTTTGAATTATCACTCTGTATTTCATGTTTACCCAAAAGAACTTCTTTTTTTTTTTCTAACTCGGTGATATACTGTGTTAATTATATGGATGGCACGCACGTAAAATGTGAAACATGGGCATAGGCACATAGTTGGAGATACCTTAAGTTGTTGTTCCATCGATCTCGGTAATGTTTATTTTTGCTATTCAACGATGATATACTAACTTTTACTATTCAACGATGATATACTAACTTTTATTTGCTTTTTAAGTCAACTACCTCTGCCTCTTTTTGTGTGTGTTAGAGTATAAAGATTAACTACCTCTGCCTCGCACTTTAAAAATGCAAATCATGAAAGGGAGAAAGCTGTAGAGGTTAGAAGACAAATTAAAATTTCTAAAATATCAGAAACATATTAACGAACATATAGAATGTTGAAATATGGTAACAACACTTAGTTTTTCTTTAAACGCAACATCTTGTTGCCATCATTCTATATTCAAGAATTCAAGACAGATTACCGGTTTGGTTCACACTATTTATCTTCACGTAATAGATATTTATTTTTCGTACAAGCGCTGTGTTTTATTAGATTATTGCACAACATTAATAAATATAAGTTGCATGCCTAAAATCTTTCAATATACAAAGGAGGTACTTCTTGAACCTACGCGTCGGGATTTGTTAGAAATAAGCAAATCGAGCTCATTAAAATATAAAATAAAACAAAAGAAAACTAAAATTTAATTAAACATATCAAAATCAATGTAAAAGAAGAACGGTGGGAAGACATGAATCACGCGTCGAAGACACACCTACCCGAAGGGTTTTAGAGAAGAAACAAAGAGACAAATAAAGAGAAGTGAGTTTGGTTTGGTTTTGGGTTTTTGGTGGTTGGTGGGGTTTGAGGTCCATATGCCTCGATCTTCCTCTTCTTTTTTGCTTTATTACAAGTTTTTTCGTATTATTCCACTCCATCGAACCATGCACATTATATATATAATTATATGTATAAGCACATCGAAGTTGTTGGATTCAGTGCAAACACTTGTCAAAGGAGCAGTCCTGATCTAGTTCCATCTTATCTTCGCTGTCTGTTCGACCTTGGCTTTGACTTTACCATCCCATACATAACTCTTATTGTTTATTTAAAATGACATATAAGTTATATAGCTTTACGGACAAAATAAAGGCCAAATGCAATCTTTCAACTCCTTAATTAGGAAGTAATAACGATTCCTAACATATATGCTATATATGTACTCTGTTTTACAAGTTGTGAGAAAGACTCATCTTCATCTCATTATGATACGTACGATACATGTATATCAATACTATATTACATTAACAGTCAGGTATGCATATATATACATGGTCATAGTACTGCGTATGCGGAGATTCAACAAGCATGCCTAGTTATATCAAACTACATCACGTCAATGAGTATATCAATATGGTCTAAATTAATATACGTTAGATTGAAGCAAAAGAAAGAAACTCCGCATGTATATATACGAACATAAAGACATGCCTTCAATCAAATAGACTATAGTGTGAGTATGTGTATATATGTGTGAGCTGATGAGACAGCGTTAAAAATACAAAAGAACCATCTTGACTACGAGTCTAAAAGCATCTATTGTCTTCCAGATCAATCACACATACATACCATGTATAGTTGATGATATGATCATTAAAAGAATCCATGGATGACATAAGAGATAGATAAGGGTTAGAAGTTATATATATTATTACTTATTAGGGTTTTGAGATCGAGGCCAAGGTCGAACAGACAACGAAACAAAGATGAGAACACATAAGATTGCTCACTTTGACAAGCCTAGCATCGAATCCAATCACTCTTGATCATCATCTCCGTCTTCTGATGATATCTCTATACCATCTATATAATCTTAATAATATTCTTTGTAAAGTGATAATATAAAAAAGATATTTTTTTGTGAAGGAGGAACCCTAGCTACTTATAGAAGAAGATATATAATGGACGAGGAGAATCCACGCAACCAACGATGAGTTAATATAAGGATTACGAAAAGGCTTCATATAAACATCTGGAGTAGAGAGCCTCACACGTGTTAACCAATCACACGAAACTCTTTGGTTTGTTGACGAGATGACTCACGGGTGGTTCGTGTGCATGCCTTCCCTTCCATTTCGAGCGTGCGGCATATATATACACTTACACACAATTTTATAAATATATCCACTGTACCGTACCTACCAACGTCTCATGAAAAAAAAATGTATTGATCATATGAAGATTCGACACAATCCATGTGCGTAGTTATAACTAGATTTCCTATGTTTGAAAATCTATTATAGTCTAAAAAATTCTGAATCACCATACGAAAATCAGCAATAACCAACTTATAAGTTTCACCAAGTAATATTGTTATCTAACCTTTACTGATATAACAGAAACTACTGAACACTATCATCATTTTATGAAAATTATAGATTTCGTGTATATATGTTTTGAAAATATTATTATAAGTTTTTGTTGTTGTTTGTGGATGGTACACTTTAATTTATTTCGTTTAGAGAATCAGTGTACCATGTTTTAGCTTTATTTGGAA